TAAAAAATCAACTTTCTGGTTTCCTTGTGATTGGCCCACATCGAAGCCTCATTGTTTTTATGTGAACAGTGGGGTTCAAAACTGAGCCTACATCATCATCCCTAGACGGTCGCAGCTCATGCTTGAAACGTGGGTTGCATACACAAATGGGGATACACTTTTGTTCTTTTTTTTTTCTGTTCTGTGATCTGTTCCTGAATGTGTGAGAAAGTAGGGAAAAGGAAATTCTTACCTTGCTCATCTTGTTTTGTGAAGTATGTTCAGAAGCGGATTAGAGTGATAGGTTTTAATATTGAAAGTACTTTTTTCCATTACTGTGTAGGTGAGGTTACCTGTGTTGATCTCTACGAATTTGACAATTTATTGTTACTTGTGCTTATATCGCGGGGGGGGGGTTCCAAGTTTTACTGCTTCTCTTGTCTGCATAGGCAATATTATGGGTTGTCTGACAGTTGCTTTGGCTTCCCGCCAGACTCGTTGCATGTTGATTTGAAAAATGCACTTGTTGTTTCTGTTATACAGGTTTGGGGGGGGGTGGGTGCCTTTGGTGCAAAGTGGTATCTTTCTTGTAACTAAATGTGTGTCTGACAAGGGGGTAGTTGTTGCAAATGGACAGTTGACCACATACAGTTGATTGCTCTTGGGGGCTTTGTGCTGTCTGGTGACTGACCTTTGGTGTCCTGGATGAACAGCTCATGCTGACCTTAGGAGGGTCTGCTCATGGGAGGTGTTAGAACAACCAGTTATAGTGGTGGCTACTGTATGTGGTTCGTGCACATTTGTACTTTCTTATGCCTGCCGTTTGTATGAGAATAAAGTAAGCCTTGCGTTAGATTAACGAATGTGAATTGGGAGGGGGTGGAAGGCGGAATCCAAAGCTCTCGGCTTCTCCATCCCTGTGGTGGTTCACAATGTGAAGTTATGGATACATTGCTGATCCATGCTGTTCAAACCTTGGGTCCATATCAGAACTCGGGATTTCATCTAGCTTGGTTGGAACACGGTTGTCTTTTACTTTGCTTTCATACTTGTTTTTAATTTAGTTTAAAAAATCAACTTTCTGGTTTCCTTGTGATTGGCCCACATCGAAGCCTCATTGTTTTTATGTGAACAGTGGGGTTCAAAACTGAGCCTACATCATCATCCCTAGACGGTCGCAGCTCATGCTTGAAACGTGGGTTGCATACACAAATGGGGATACAGCGTATTCATGTCTTCTATTTGAACAATGAGGTCAAAATTGTGCCTACATCATCATCCCTAGACGGTCGCAGCTCATGCTTGAAACGTGGGTTGCATACACAAATGGGGATACAGCGTATTCATGTCTGTGTTGTTTCTATTTGAACAATGAGGTCAAAATTGTGCCTACATCATCATCCCTAGACGGTCGCAGCTCATGCTTGAAACGTGGGTTGCATACACAAATGGGGATACAGCGTATTCATGTCTGTGTATTAGCAATTGGTTTTTTTCCGACTCTAAGAAAACTGGTTGTTTTTAATTCGTGATATTTCTCTTTTCTGTATACTGTTTGCCTCTACAAGTTTGAGGATTTTTTACCTTTGCAAAATGGGTTTACATTAGTAGAATTTTGGGGTTCAATTGATATCGGGTTAGTATTTGTTGGAAAAGATGTGTCACATGATCAAATAGGATGTCAACTTGTACTCTACCTAGAATGTCTTTAAAAACTCCTGAGAAATGAGTTCTAATGTTCCAAACTATTTCGTTTGCCAGGCAATCTTGTGATGATCACTGGAGGTCACAACTTGGGCCGTGTGGGAACCATCACCCACAGAGAGAGACATCCCGGATCCTTCGACATTGTGCACATTAAGGATGCTCTTGGACACACCTTCGCCACCAGGTAACTTGACATGTCTTGTCTCCTCTCGTAAGGGTGTGTGTCACTGGCAGGTGGTTGGGTCGGCTCTGCAGCTAGATCCTACTTTTCTTTCCTTCTGTTGTTTGTCTTTTTTCCCTTACCTATATGAGCATTATTGTGTTGGTGTCTTTCTTCTTTTCTCCTGTCTCCTTGATGGTTTAAAATGCCAGAGTAAGAAACATTAGTGATGCTGTGGATGCTGATCTTGGCCGGTTTGAAGAACAAAACCATGTTACCCTGCTGTGACAGTTACTTTATGATTCAATTATTTTTGGTATCCATATATGCTTGGCATTCATCGAAGCCACGTTGTTTCTATTTGAACAATGAGGTCAAAATTGTGCCTACATCATCATCCCTAGACGGTCGCAGCTCATGCTTGAAACGTGGGTTGCATACACAAATGGGGATACAGTATGTTCCTTTTTCTGCTCTGTGAAGTTGTTCAAGTTCAGTATAGTGTTGTATTGCATGTTCAAAATGAACCAAGTGCAACAAGTTTCGACGTTTGGATATTTGAAATACCCTTTTTTAATTATTGCGGATTTAATGCAGTCATCAAGCCTAACCTTTCACCCCGAATGTCCGTTCAAGCAGTGGGAGCAACTAGTTGTGTCAAAGTGTGTGTTTTAGCCTATCCTGACATCAGTAGGCTACTTTCTTGTCGTATCTCATTTTTATTTTTTTTCATTGAAAATGTGACTTTTTCTTACACTCTTTTGTTATGAACTATTTTCACTGTTAAAATAATGGAGATATGACAAGAAAGCACTGAGGTCGCGATATGGCAACATCTGTTTCAACAGACCGTCGATCAATTCATTATGTAGATTTACATCTATGTCTAGACTAGCCTTTCTTGTCCAATAGCAGGGGGAGGGGGTGGGTGGATATGATTGTGGCGCTTTTGTATTTGCTGAGATTCCGCGGCCAAAATAATGTTGCAAGAGCCGTAAACTAGGTGCCACAAACTGGCCTGGCGCACTGTCACGGAGACCAAAACCCATGTTTTTATTTTACCCTCCTAAAACACGGTGTGATCATGCACACACAGACACTTAAAATATAGGAAGAAAGAGGAGCCTTTCGTCTTTTTGGTGGTATTATTTATTTGAATCAACAATTCTTTTGAAAGGAAAATCTTGTGGGATAAAAGACAACACCGTCAGGGTTTTCACTGTGGCGGCCACGTGTTACGTGTATTGATTTTTTGAGTGACCTCGGTTGAACAGGAACGGGGAGCGTATGGTATTAAATATTGCAATCTGATTCGTCGATATTTCAAGATGACAAAACGCTCTTTCTGGCGATATGTTTCTAAAGACTGTCCTTATATAATTCATAGAAGAGATTTGCGTGTGGAAACTTTCAATGCTTTTTAAAAAAATGAAACCAGTGATCGGACTGACTACGGAAATATATCGGCAGAAAGTCCATTCATTCCTCTTCAAGAATAACACAGCCATTAATACCAAATAAATACTGGGCGCTCCCCATCGGCTCGCAAGCAGGGCGCCATCGCCCCCGTTTCGTATAACTTCTTTCTTCTTTCCGTCGACGCGGCCCGGTGTGCAGCTGATAAGCTGGTGGTTGGGAGTGGTGATTTTACCACCCCCTGTATTTCTTGCCTTTTTGGTCAAAAAGCCATGTTTACGTCAATACATTTCCATCTTCTGGTTGTTTGTTAACCCTGAAAAAATTTGGGCTTGTTTTCTATGTGCATGGATGCATGTTTACAAGTTTTTGTGAATGTCCATTCCTATTTAAGAATGTTGTGGACATCTTAAAGTGCAGACGTTTCGCAATTTAAAAGAATATTTGTTTAAAAATGAAGCCTATATATGTATAACTTTGGTATCAAAATATTTTGTTCTATAAGGTGGTGCAGTTAACTATGAAATGAGAGGACTTTGAAATTTCAGTTTGTGGTACGTACTTAAACTAACCCTACTCTAGCTCTGCTCCGGTGATATTCCTTTTCTCTAGCAGCCTGACCACTTTGTTGCCATTATTACACCTGAATGCATCCTCGGGGCTTCTGTTTCCTCGATGGATGAAAATGCCAGAGTTGGAGACGTTAGTTATGCTGTATACTGATGTTGGTCTGTTTTAACAAAACCATGTCACCCTGCCGTGATGGTTATTTTGGTATCCTTTGGTTGGCATTCATCGAAGCCACATTGTTTTTTCTTGAACAATGAGGTCAAAATTGTGCCTACATCATCATCCCTAGACGGTCGCAGCTCATGCTTGAAACATGGGTTGCATACACAAATGGGGATACAGTATCTTCTTATGTTCTGTGAAAAGTTGCTCGAGCTCAGTAGGATGTTATATTTCATGTTCAAAATAAACCTAGAGCAACAGGTTTCGACATTTGGATATTTAAATTACACTTTTTTCACTATATTGCAGATTTAATGGGGCCATAGGGTAATGAATTTTCGTTCCGTGGCAGTTATTGTGTATTATTCAAGTTATCTTGGATTTGTCCCAAGTTTCAACTGGATTGTGTTGGGGGTTGAGCGTTAAATGTTTTTAGTGAAATGGTTCACCAGCCCTGTGTTCCCCCAGTACTCACCTTTTAGGGGCTTTGTGACAACTTTGTAACTGATTGTTGTTGTTAATTTTTTTCCTCTGCACAGGTTGTCATACGTGTTCGTTATTGGCAAGAGTAACAAGGCCATGATTTCCCTCCCACGAGGCAAAGGTGTGAAGCTGTCCATTGCTGAGGAGAGAGACAGGAGAATAGCCGCCAAGGCTCAGTGAAGCGTCCAAGTCCTACAAAGATCAGCAAGAACAAGTCTACCCAACTTGGGCTTCTAAAACAAATTGGATTGCTGAATAAATTTACACCATAATTTTGGTTTTTAGGCTTCATTTATTTTTCTTGCGTGTTATCTAGAATGAAATTGGTTGTGGATCACCTCTCTTTCTTGTCACGATGTGCTTAATCCTGTCTGTGGAATCTACTGTTTCTTTTCTTCTTCTTTTTTTTTTTTTGCTGCTTTAGTAAATGTGATGTGGTGGGTGGTTGGCGGTTGCTCTGGTGTGGTTTGCTCTTTCTTTCCTATAACTATAAAAAATCTATTGTCTTTATCTCCGCTTCTTTTTTGTGTATGTTTTTCTCTTGTAGCTCATAATCTAATCTTCAGCACTTTTATTAAGTTGTATGACCTTATTGTGTTGCAAGGGCCGTAAAACTTACTAGTGGGTGGTTGGCGGGGGCTCTGGTGTGGTTTGCTCCTTCTTTCCTATCAAACAACTATCATCCTTATCTCCCCTCCTTTTTTATGTTTGTTACTCTCTTGTAGCACCTCTAATCTTCGGCACTTATTATATGTCTGTGTTGCAAGCGCAGTAAAACTTCTACTAAAACCAAAAACCTAACTAAATGTGACTTGGTGATACCGGAGCTTCTATCCTCGTTCCTGGTGTCGGGGGATACAGTGCCAGGTAACTCTGTGACTGGGAGACCTGTAGGAATAGTCAACACCATACTTCAGCTGTGGGTGGTTGGCAGGTGCTTTGGTGTGGTTTGCTCCTTCTTTCCTATCAAACAACTATCATCCTAATCTCTCCTCCTTTTTTTGTGTTTGTTACTCTTGTAATGCCTCTCATCTTTGCCCTCACCTCCTTTACCGATCCTCTGGGCTCCTGACGCTTTCTGCAACCTTTCTTAACTTTCCACTGCTACTCTGGCTCCTTTTTACTACCACTACCAGGACTGTCTTTCAGTTTCAGCCACGCCGCTGATCTTACAGTAGGTACGGTCTAGCACCTGCTGGAGGTTGGCCACCATAGGGGCAGAATTAAAAATATTCCTTCCAAACTGATAATGTTTACCCACACACTCAACTGTATGCAGTTGCGAGCACCATAAAACGCTTTTTCTTTCATCTAACAACTATCGTCTTTATCTCTCCTCCTTTTTTGAGTTTGTGTTACTCTCTTGTAACACTTCTAATCTTCGGCACTTGTACAGGAAACAGACTTACTCTGCTCACCTCTAGCTTCAGCAGCACAATGTCTGCTTCGACTAACGACAGGTCACAAGAGAGTGACAGACATACAAAAGAAGTAGAGGAAAATGACAATAGTAAGGATCAGGAAAGAAAAAGCAGCAGCTCCCTGTTGTAGTTCAGGCACAGGTTATGAGCATGACATTGTTAAAGATCAGCCAATTTATTTTCTATTGTGCATGAACGAGAAATGTCCCCCCTTTGGGAATGGCCTAAAGACATTTCTTCAGTCAGTGGCACCGCCCCGGGGGTAACTTCAGTCAGAGGTACACCAGGAAAGAGCAAACACAAAAAAGGAGGAGGAACGATAAGGATGATAGATGTTGGAAATCAAAGGAAAATAGGTAAGAAGGAGCACACCAACCACCACACAGAATGCAAATAGAAGAGAGACATGACATAGCATGATAGCCTACGAACAAAACCACAACAACAGCAAAACCAAAAAAAAAAAGCCCAGCTTTTTTTTTACCATTGTGTGAGGTGAGGTTTATTTTTTTTTTAAGCATCAGCTCAAAAAACATTAGAATCTAGCTCAAAAACATGATCATTAGCCACACCCACACCAAAATCTGTACAGTACATTGATCCCTTGAACAGAGGCACTCTTGTGTCCCAAGTCTCCTCCAGCATAACAACAATAACATACACAATGTGGTATCTCATCATAAATCAGGGACGCCACTTTTCCGCTTTTTTCCAGTATTTCCGGTATTTTGATCCTGAACCGCTATTCCGTTATTGAGATCGAGATAGAATCTATAGTTGAACCCCCCCCCACACACACACACACCCAACAACTTGTGACAAATGATCAAAAAACGGAAAAAGGCAGACTTCGCTGCACACCCATTGCTCATGTTTGTTTGTCATTTCTCTCTATGAGATCTACACCCTTTGGGTTTCAAATTGAATTCACATTACAGTGGAAACCATATATAACAGGCCCGGTAATAACAGGGATTTTTTAAATCCCCGTTTTTTCCTACTCTTTGTCTCTATTAAAAGTTATCGGCAATAACAATAACAGGGCCTCATCGGAGCCCAACCGGTTATAGCAGGGACAACAGCTCATTACAATGTGTAAAAAGTAAGAGAGAGAGAGAGAGAGTAAAGCAGTGATGGAGCAAGCCATGCCACTGCAAGCACATGCAACGTGTGAAGCGAGAGAGGGCTGCAGTGTGCTGCAGACCTTGATCTAGCCCGAAACCTAGCAACACGTTTGCGTAATGTGTCTACTGTCACCTACGAAGTCAAGCGCAAGAGAAAATGCCTTTCAATTGACCAAAAAAAAACACGAAATAATCCAGGCTCTTGACAATAAGCAAGCTCCACTGGCAGAGATTTGTCGTCAGTTCGACATTCCACAAAGGTTGATTCACACCATTATCAAGGATAGAGAGAAGATAGTGGCAGCATACCCTAATGGAAAGTTTGCTCTGGATCGAAAGAAGATGAGACCCGATGCAGATGCTGTGGACCAAGCTTTTCTGATGTGGTTTAAGGAGGCTAGGAGAAAGTTGGTGCCAAAACCCCTGTTCGTGGGTACTTGTGGCAAAGGAAACTACCCATGAATAACTACAGCTGGATTAGTCCACAAATACTTACTTTCCTTGCATTTCTGATTTAACAGGGATCGGATATAACAGGACATTTTCTCTACTCCCACCATCCCTGTTATATCAGGTTTCCACTGTACATAACAATGATATAGGCCTACATGACATCAAGAACACAGGTGGACACAATTACACAGGCATTAATAGTAATAGCATTCTGACAACTGTTGTTATTATAAAGAACAATTTCAACTGTTAGAGATTCAAAGACACAAGACAAGACAAAGAAATGAAATAGATTTAGAAATTCTTCAAGACAGAAAAGAAATAGAGATTCTTCAAGACAGAAATATTATTAGATACATTACAATTGTGATATATGATTCCCCTGGCAAGAATCGTGCTGGTTACAAGTTACAGTACAGAAATCCCCAGGACCAGCTGTCATTGTCTGTTTTTATCTACATGTGATCTATATGGTGTTTTTGGTACAGGATTGACTATTTCATACCCTACAAGTGGGGTCACTTTGAAGGTAGATGTTCAGTTAAGAATATATTCTTCCTCTGAAAACAAATATTTTTCAGAAGAAAAGTGTGTGCATGTGATTGTGTTTGAGGGGGAGGGGGGGCGTGATAGACCACGGCACTTACTTTAAGTAGGATAATCACAAGTAAGCAAATCTATGCAAATAACTTTTCTTGATATGTGACTCTTCGTAGGCCTACTTTGTGTCAAGTGAACCACATTGAAATGTGAGACTGACACACATACATGTACAAGGCTCAGTCAATGACGCTGACCTATTTACTGGAATCTGCTAAACTGCCAGATTTTCTTCAGTTTATTGGTGTTTTCCTTTAGTTTTAGTTAGGTTTAGTAGAGGTTTTACGGCACTCGCAACTGCATTTGAGCGCCAGAAGATTAGACGTGTTACAAGAGAGAAACAAACATAAGGACGATAGATGTTTGATAGGAAAGAAGAAGCAAACCACACCAGAGCA